GGATTCAACTGTGAAATTTTATTTGTTAATTACTTATCCCAGTACAAAGAAAGGTTTATACAGGGTATGAGAGGTACATTTTAGATGAAATACAGATATACTATGTGTTGTTGCTCCATACGCCATTCGTTCCTTCAAAATACTGGAGCCCATGTGCACCATTAGTTTGGAATCGCGGTTTTTCAACCCCCCTAGGTGGACTCGCCGTGTCCACCGACCCGGTTAAAGCGTCGGACATTCGCTTTTCGTCCTCTCAATTTCGTAAACAACACCCCCGCCAAGAGAAGGCAGTGTTAGGACTTCCCTGGCAGAGGCTATATATTCGCTGGCCATGTGAGAGCATTTCAAGAGGGAGAGCGGACTCTCCCCAATCTCGGCCATACCAGCGCATTTGGGGGCACCGAACGACGCCCGACGTGGGGCTCGAACCCATGACCCTGAGATTAAAACTCCCATGCTTAACCGACTGAGCTAGCCGGGCTAATGGCAAGAAGGTTGTTGATCACTAAAGACTATCTATAACATACATTAGAATATCTAAGTAACCACTTAATATTGAAAGCATAATGGTTATTTACGTGTAATTAATAATTCTGCTAATTTTATACAACTAAATGATGCTTACATTTAATGAGTTAATGAGCTAGTTACAACTGGTAACAATAATAGAAAAGAGAAGTACTATTTTAAGGGACAATCATATGGTGAAGAACTCTTTCTATACGTAGTCATTAAGGAATGGTTTACAAAATAAAAACATTCAATACGACTGAAGAAATTCGAATAATTTTAAGCTGTATCGTTGAAGACAATGAGTTGATAGCTTGTACCATTTTGAAAGCTTTAGTCAATCAAACTACATCTGAACCTATTGTAAATGACCTTTCAGACCTACAAATGATATATTTCAGAAGTATTTGTGCCATAACAGATGCAAAAATTAACTGCTTTTTAACACATTATTTTCGAATTCACTAATGACCTTCACATAGTAATTATGGATGCCTAACTGCAGACCCTGATGACGTAGTATTTGAAAGCAATAGTTCGCTCCGAAATTCTCTGTTTTTTAAGCATGTATCTGAAGATTTAACTAAATGGAATGATCTGCAGTTTATTCTGATTTTAGGTTCAGTGTGTAGCTTTGGGACAAACGGTTCTTTTCATTTAGATTGCTATCATAACGTATTTATTTGTTAATTTATTAATTATACACATTTCTTATTGTGGATATCTATTGAAAATTGCAATAAAAAGTTGAAACAATTGGAATATTACAAAGATATCGTCAGTCAAGATCAACACAGAACTTGATGCATTTATCAGTTCCACGTTGACAAATCATATGAATATAGCCAGATAAAATAATCAAGATGAAGAGTATAGTAGTAGAAAAAAGTAGTACCAGCAATAATAAAAAAGATTAGGTATAAAGGATATGGTTTGAAAGGAAACAGTTAGCGGAAAAGAAGTATAAAATAACTTTAAAAACCCGGATCTGAGGACAGTTAAAAGGCAGATGCACTTGAATAATTGGGACTGATTTTCAGCCATTTCATTTGTCTTCGATCACTGATTATAGTCATCATCCAGACTGTAATCAGAAAATCTGTACGCTCTGACATGGCTCGGAAAAACAGTCATTGACTTCATGAACTAATTTTAGGTCTTGATTTAGTTACCCTTAATGTTTTCAAATCTACTTTTATTTCAGGCAACGTTTTGATTCGAGATAGATGGTAATCAGAATTGTTGTAAAACAAGCTCTAGCTACCAGTCATTAAAGGTTCAAAATCTTATCAACTGATTTACCAGTATTACAGAATATGTTGAGTTTAACTTAGCTGCTATTTTCTTAATGGACCCAATATACGTGAACAATGCTTGGCCTCGCTGGAGTAGGTATAGCATTAAGTCCTAAGGCAGAACTAGCTCTTTTAGACTGGATCCCAGTAGACAGTCATCCATGCGCTGTCCGACTAAACGGATCAGTAAGGACTCGGAAAGATAGGGAAACAAGTAGTTGCCTCTTCGTCGTCTCTGCCTACTCTCCCACTGACTGCAGCTCAGACGATATAAAAGATGAGTTCTACAGGAAACTTTCTGTCCTTCTCCGATGTAGTAATAATGGCTGGTGACTTTAATGCTCAAGTAGGTAAACTAAGTGAAAGGGAAAGACACCTGGGTGGATCTTATGGTGTCGTGGCGAAAAGAACAGATAATGGCGAACGTCTGTTGCAGCTGTGCTCAGATAACCGCCTATTTCTTGCAAATACTGACTTTAAGCAAAAGGAAAAACATCTTTTGACATGGCGACCCCCCAATTCATCCCAACGTTGGACCCAATTAGATCACATCGCTATCAACCACTGATGGAGGGGCTCGATAGAAGACTGTCGCTCATTCTGGGGCACATGTTTAGATTCAGATCATGCTCTAGTGCGAGCACGTATCTGTCTGCGTCTTACTGGACGTAGGAAAGACACTGCAGGGAAGCCTCTAAGGGTTCTACTTAATGATAGGCAAGCTAAGAATATATTTCAGGAACAACTAGAAAAACAGTCAGGCAGCCATGTAAGTTGTGTCCACCCCGAGGCAGCGTGGAATGACATCCGAAAAGCTGTCGAAACAGCTGTGATATCCGCTAGTAAGGTAAGCCATAAGGTCAGGGAGAAACAATGGATCTCGGCAGCATCTACCGCACTGATAGATGCTCGTAAACTCATCCCACCTGGCTCTGAACATAACGAAGAGCGGAGTCAGCTTAAGCGAAGGCTAATAAGAAGCCTACGCAATGATCGTGAACAGTGGTTAGCGAAAGCAAGAGAGATGGAAAAGGTAGCGGCAACAGGTAACAGCAAACAGCTATTCAGACTCGTTAAAGAAACCGGTATTAGGAACCCAAGTATCAGTGAAACTATCTCAAACAAAGATGGGCATGTCATTCATTCTCAATCCAGGAGATTGGATCGATGGGCAGAACACTTTAGGGATCAGTTCAACTGGCCTTCAGCCACACTTCAGTTACCCACGATCCCCAGTCGTCCTGAATGGCAAATTGGGGTAAGTCCTCCAACTCTCTACGAGGTTGAAAAAGCTATAGGAAATCTAAAGCGAGGGAGAGCCGCAGCTCCTGACAGGTTTACCCCTGAGATTTTTAAGGATGGTGGTCCAGTACTAGCAATAAGATTGACTGAGGTCTAAGGTAGAATCTGGGGACTGGACGTAATTCCATCTGACTGGTACCAATCACTGATTGTGCCAGTCTATAAGAAAGGACAAAAGTCCTCCTGTGACAATCACAGAGGAATCAGTTTGACTAATATAGTGTCTAAAATATTAGCTTCAATAATACTTAGGCGCCTAACCAAAGCTCGTGAAGAGCAGACTAGGGAAGACCAAGCTGGTTTTCGACCGGGACGTGGTTGTATAGATCAGATATTCACTCTACGTCAGATCCTAGAACATAGACACACATTCAGACATCCCACAATAATAGTATTTCTTGACCTTAAGGCGGCATTTGAATCTGTCGATCGTTAGGTTCTATGGTAGTGTTTGTCACTGAAAGGAGTACCAAAGAAGTAAATTAACCTCATAAAGGCTCTCTATTCGAACACAACTGGTCGAGTTAGAGCCTAAGACGAACTGTCATCAGAATTGGTTACCTCAAGTGGTGTTCGGCAGGGTTGTCCACTATCCCCATTCTTGTTTAACTTTGTCGTTAACATGCTTTTATAGATATCACTTTCATCATCTCAATCTCCTGGAGTTGAACTTTTACCGAGAGATTCAATTGTTGACTTAAAATACACCGACGACATAGTGCTATTTGATGAAGACGCTGACTAAATGCAGAGTTTTCTGACCACTATAAACAACAATGCAGGCATGTTCGGAATGCGATTCTCTCCCTCGAAGTGCAAAATATTACTTCAGGATTGGGTTGCATCGGCACCTGAATTAATGATAGGGAGTGAAGTATTTGAGCGTGTAGACCACTTCACTTATCTTGGGAGTCTCATCAGCCCTTGTGGTCTGGTGTGACGAAATTTCAGCACGGATACAGAAGGCTCGTCTAGCTTTCTCCAACTTGCGTCATTTATGGCGTAGGTGAGATGTCCGTCTAGAAACCAAAGGACGGGTTTACTGTGCAGTAGTCCGTTCCGTCCTACTTTATTGGTAGTGAAACATGGCCGGTAAGAGTAGAGGATATTCGTAGGCTACTAAGTGTCTTCGAAGCATTGCTCGTATATCTTGGGACCACCGAGTTAGTAATGCAGATGTTAGGAAACGGGTACTAGGTAAGGATGGCAAATCAATTGATTAAGTTGTGATACCTCATCAGTTGAAATGTCTGGGACACGTGTTACGTATGCCCAACCACCGACTGCCCCGACATGCAATGTTTTATGGTGTAGGAGCAGGTTGGAAGAAATCTAGGGGCGACAAAACCAAAACATGGCAAAAATCCATGAAGTCACTGACAAGTGGACTGAGCCTTGTTGGTTGATGTAGACTAACTGGTTGGAATCCGCGAGATGATAGCAACCGATGGTTAGAGACCTTGAATGACATGGCTCAAAATCGTTGGCAATGGCGCAGCAGGTGCATCCACTCTTTGTGTTCTGCCAAATTCTAATCTTCTGTGTTCTTCATGTTTGTCTTTTTTCTCTTTTCAAATTTACTTCACCTTATTATACTCCTTCAATAACATCTTCGAACCCTAATCTTTCCGATTACTGCTTATACTGTTACTACTTCTACCAATATGGGATTTGAATCGACAACTTCATCTCTGTGGAAATGTGGTATGGCAACTCGAAATGATGTACGTATGTACGAAGTTCTACGTTGTAACTGACTGACTGATTGAACAATGCTTACACTAGTAATCGATCAATATCACAAAGATTTAACAACTTATCTGACACAAACCTCTATAAACGACAAATAAAAGTAATATATTTATGCAAAAAAAGGAACAATTCAATAATTACCAAATCAGCTGATTCTTCTAATGATAGTCCGCTCAATCGATTGATTTCTGTTTCATCAGGAAAAACTGTATACCTGAGAGGAGAAAATGGAATAGATTTCTGTACAATTTTGGGTTCCATCAACGATAGGAGTGCATCAATTTCATGTTCGTCATTAGAAATCTATAAAAAAAGAAATGATTAAAAATACTACTTGATTTTTAAATTCATAACATACAAATGCGGGAACTTTGTTTATGTATTACAGAATCTTTATAATCAAAGTACATTCACAGTTTTATGGTAAATTATATGACCTGATACGCACAAACATCGGTTTACGTTGTCATACTTCATTAGCACTTACTTACTTACGCCTGTTACTCCCAATGGAGCAAAGGCCACCGACCAGCATTCTTCAACCCACTCTATCCTGAGTCTTCCTTTCCAGTTCTATCCAACTTTTGTTCATTCTCCTTATGTCTGTCTCCATTTCTCGGCGTAATGTGCTCTTTGATCTTCCTCTTTTTGGTTCTGATGCTCCTCTTCACTTGCTTGTTTACCTCTGTGTATTCGGCCTGTGCCTAGGCTTTCTCTGCTCTTGTTCAGCTGGTATTGATTGCTGTCTTCTTGTTCCTCATTTCTTAAATCTTATCCAGTGTACCAATAGTGATCCATTCCTTGTGATGGTGCCTTTGTGGCCCAGCACCTCATAACATGTTGAAGTGATTGCTTCTTTTATCCCTTTTCAGTTGCTGTCCATAGTAGTTCCCTCTCCATTGAGTAGATCATAAAAGGCCTGGAACTTATTGTTGGGGATGTCAGATCCCCAGAACTCACTTGGTAAATGACTTATTTTTGTAATTTTATTTTTAAAATTTGAATTTAACTGTTTTCGCGCCAAAAGCGCTCTTTTCAGCTTCACGTCATATTTCCCACTCGGGAAAATCCTAAACGCTATAGGTCCGTTGTATCTTTTAGAATGCTGTTTTGTAAGGTTTTCCAAGGACAGCTTTTATGCTGTATATGTATGTTTGATTTCTTCCTGTTTTGATTGCTTGTGCTTCCAGCTGCTTACGGAAAATATTTTCCCCTACTTCGTTTTGGACATCTCACTCTCGGACAACGGATTAGAATAGCCTATCGTGTCACTGTGTCATTGAACTTCGTTCCGTTTACCGAGTAAGGAGAAATTGTAATTAGCATTGAAGCATATCAATTGTTGAGGGCTATTTTAATTTGTTGAGTTTGTCAGTATCCCGAAGAAAAGCCGTATCAAGCTTTTGTGATGTTGTCCGACTTCATTAGCACAGAGAGATGAAATGAACCACACTAACAGAAAGAAATGAAACTAACAAGATGAATAGCCAAAGAATAATGTGGTACTAATAATCACGAGAAAGACAATATTGAAAGTGTGATTCGAAAAGACTGTTAGAAAGTATGTATGAAAGAGTACTGGAATTCAAGATAGAGAGGAAGATAAAGAGTAAATTCATCTGCCTCACTGTGAACAATTCTAAGTCATGTCACCCAGACTTTCGAACCACTAACCACGGTTATCACCCAGACCACAATCATGTAGTCTGGATCTACCAACAAAGCTCAGACCAATAGTAATTTCATGGACTGACGGTATTTTGGTTTCAACGTCTCTCCCTAAGCTTTATTTCAACCTAATTTTAAACCAATAAACACCATACATCGAAGTAGATGGTGGTTAGACATGCGGTTGTGTAGTATAACAGCCCTTTAATTAACAGATAAACATCTCTCCCCAGACACAAGTGAACGCACTCAACAATTTTACTTCCTATCATTCATTTAGGCGATAGTGCAGATCAGCCCTTTGGAAACACTGCATTTAGAGAGAGAAATGCATCCTGGGCATGCTTGCATACATGCCCATGCATGCCCCCAAATGCCCTGGTACGGCCGAGATTGGGGAGAGTCCGCTCTCCCTCTTGAAATGCTCTCACATGGCCAGCGAATATATAGCCTCTGACAGGAAAGTCCTACTCACTGCCTTCTCGTGGCGGGGGTGTTCTTTACGAAATTGAGAGGACGAAAAGCAAATGTCCGACGCCTTAACCGGGTCGGTGGACACGGCGAGTCCACCTAGGGGAGTTGTAAAACCGCGATTCCAAACCAATGGTGCACATGAGCTCCAGGATCCTGAAAGAACGAACCAAAAGAATGAACCAACTGTTGGTCACCGGCTACCATGGGACTGCATCTCCTCACGATGCTCCACTGCCTTGTGGATCAGATCTTTCGGTCAAAGGCACCGGATGTTTGTGTGTGGGCTGTGATACTGCCCGGGTGCCCAAACCGAAGCAGGTGGTTTCCTTAGGGGGCTACACCCGGAGCCTTTGACCTAATGGTCTGATCCACAAGGCAGTGGAGCATCGTGAGGAGATGCAGTCCCATGGTTGCCGTTGACCAATGACAGGTTTTTCCGCCATTCGTTCCATCAGGATACTGGAGCCCATGTGCACCATTGGTTTGGAATCAGGGTTTTCCAACTCCCCTAGGTGGACCCACCGTGTCCACCAATCCGGTTATAGCGCCGGACATTCGCTTTTCGTCCTCTCAATTTCGTAAACAACACCCTCGCCACGAGAAGGCAGTGAGTAGGACTTCCCTGTCAGAGGCTATATATTCGCTGGCCATGTGAGAGCATTTCGAGAGAGAGAGGTGACTCTCCCCACTCTCGGCCGTACCAGGGCATTTGGGGGCAAAAGGAAACCCTGGACCCGGGTTTCGTGCTACTTGATACACGTCAGCAAGGTGCAACTGTAATTTTGAGGGAACTGGTGCTCCCTGACGGATTCGATCCCGTGTCACTCAGCTTCACAATCACAGACGTTACCACTGAGCTATTCGGGCAAAATGAATGAAATGGTGAACTCTATTGACGATAATATCCCTGCTCATACTAAAAGCAAGACAATTTACATTATTATTATTATTACCTTTATTATTATTATTATTATTATTATTATTATTATTATTTACCATATCGCTAACTCACCCCCTTTTATCCCCAATTTGTGTAACCTTACTTTTCAACTTATGCAGCAGCTCGCCCATGGTGGAAAATCTGTCCTATCTAAACGATCTCCACTCACTGTCTGGTTGAAAGTGAATGCTTCCACCGATAATGAATACTGAGGCAGTCTTTCTGAAACCACGTACGCCGTTCAAGCTGGCTTCCTTCAACGTTCGCACACTAATGCATATCAGACAACAGATAGGGCTGGCTATGTCTTTGGAAGGTCTTAATGTTGATGTTTGTTGTCTATCCGAGACCCGTATTCAAGACTCTAGTGAAGTACTACAAATCCGCTCTCCATCTGTCGCCTCGAAGTGCTTGTTCCACGTGCGCTTATCCGGGGACCCTGTGGCATCTTCGTCTGGTCTTGCTGGCGTTGGTGTCACACTAAGTGCTAGGGCTGAGGCAGCACTAATCGATTGGATACCCATTAACAGTCGGTTATGTGCTGTTAGATTAGAAAGTTCCATCAAAGTGAGAAGAAATCGGCGTGAGAAACGGTGTCTTTTCATCATCTCTGCCTATGCTCCGACAGATTGCAGCCCGGATGCAATCAAGGATGAGTTTTACCATCAGTTAACAGTTCTTCTCCAGAAAGCGCGTTCGACAGATATTGTAGTGCTAGCCGGAGACTTGAATGCACAGGTCGGGCGTCTAGGCACAGAAGAGAGTCGTCTAGGTGGCCGATGGGGACTTGTTGGTCGCCGGACAGATAACGGGGACCGTTTGCTGCAACTGTGCACAGACCACAACCTGTTTCTGGCCAGCACTAACTTCCGGCACAGTCATCGCCGGTGTGCCGCCTGGCGTCCCCCCTCTGCATTCCAAGCCTGGACTCAGATTGATCACATCGCGATCAGCTACCGCTGGCGTGGCTGTGTACAAGACTGCCGCTCCTTTTGGAGTACCTATCTGGAGTCTGATCATGCCCTGGTCTGCGCCAATCTCACCTTACTTTTCAGTGGCCGAAGGATTGACCACCACCAACGGATTGATGTTAGTAAACTGGCTGCAACTTCTGTTGCAAGTAAGTATCGAGCGGAGCTAGCCTCTAGGCTAGCTACCACCCCACCGAAAAGTATAGATGAGCATTGGTTGCTTCTTCACGACGCCATGAAAATGGCGAGTAAAGCCGCTTGCGGCTTCGCGAAACGTCCCGCTTACAAGCAACGGTTTCTTCTGGCTCCTTACAACTGATGGAAGCCCGTCAGTCTACTCCGGGTGACCGTGAGTTTGACCATAAACAAAGGCTGTTACGTAATGAAATCGGGCAAAGCTTGCGTAAGGACCGGGAAGCCTGGTGGTCGAAGCGTGCTAATGAGATGGAAGCAGCAGCTGCATCTGGTAACTGCCGGAAGCTCTTCCAACTCATCCGAGCCACTGGCAGCAAGAAGTCTGGTGTGAGTGAAACAATCTACGAGGATGACGGGATGCCAATCACTAACATCTGTCGACGTCTTGGACGATGGGCGGAATTTTTCGAAGGGCAGTTCAACTGGCCTGCTGATCCGGCAACATCAACCAGCTTGTCCTGCCCCCCATGGCCGATGACGACTGATCCACCAAACGAGACGGAAGTCCGCAAGGAACTCCAACTCTTGAAACGTTATAAATCACCTGGCCCAGATGACTTACCTCCGGCTCTTTTTAAAGATGGTGGTGACCTTCTGACTAAGGAATTGACTGTGTTGTTTGGATAGGTTTGGGAGCAAGAAAGTGTTCCAACATCATGGAATGAGTCAATAGTCGTCCCTATCTTTAAAAAGGGTTCACGTTGTTCCTGCAATAACTACCGGGGGATAAGTCTACTTTCGATTGCGTCCAAACTATTGGCTTCTATCATTCTTCGTAAGTTGTTTAAAACCCGAGAACGATTGGCTCGCGAGGAGCAGGCTGGTTTTCGTTCTGGTCGAGGATGCATTGATCACATCTTCACCCTCCGCCAAATGTTAGAACACCGTCATACTTATCGCAGGCCAACAATCGTAGTGTTTCTTGATATCAGGGCGGCCTTCGATTCGTTGGACAGGACTGTTCTCTGGGATTGTCTATTGAAGAAGGGTGTGCCTGAGAAGTTCATTAACATCTTAAAGGCCCTGTATACGAACACCTCAGGCAGAGTGAGGGC